TATACATATTATTATTATTATCGTACTTCACACTCCTCTGAGACCAGACTGTGTGCCAAACAAATCATGGTACAATAATCTTTGTAAAGAGGAAAAACGTTCCACGATTTGCATGTGGGCCGAATACTGCCAGGTTGCCCAGGCCAAGTTAGATGAATTTTCTTGTGGAATCCATAACCGGAGTCTTGGGCGAGCCAAAGCCTGACCTGCAAGACATTGGGGCGGTGTGTGAAAATCGCATTCCATTGGGTGCCGATCTCCCAGTTTATCGGATCATAGGCCCTTTGGGCAGGGTCAAAATTTCAAAGAGCTCAGTACACCTCGATACCCAATTGAGCCGGTGACCACTGGCATAACCAGGAAGGTGTGTGTGTGTGTGGTTCGTGTGCCTGCTCTTGGTTGATTTGGAATCAGGGTTTTTGACCAACTCCCCTAGGTGGAGTGCCAGTGATCCGCCAACCCGGTTATAATCCCGGATGTCGGCTTTTTGTCCCCTTACTTTGGTGGGGAAACAGCTCCGCTCCATGAGAAGGCAGTGATTCGAGTTTCCTCAGCAGAGTCAGGCTATTTGAGACGCCTGATCGTATGGGAGCAGTTCGCCAGGTGCAAGGGGAAGGGTGACCAGCNCCAGCCGCAATCCTAAACACCCCCACCCCTTGATCATACTGAGGATTTCGGAGGCTATACGTGGATCTATTATTTGATGATCTCCATTGAATTTCATTTTGGACATGTCCCGAAACGAGAAAGATTTTAGTTCGGTAGGGATAAAATTCACCCGACAACTAATACATTGATAACCACGATCGATTTCATTCAAACTGGCCGGTGAAAAAAATGAAGCAGTCAAATTCGGTGCGGTTGCTGTCTTTTCACACTGCTGAGTGTGGTTATGCGTTTGGTCGCACTTAACTCTACTGCATTATCACAATTTCCAGGTCTTTCATCGTTCACTGGTCTATAGTTCAGGTCTCAGTTTTGTCGTTATCTTTTGTCACACACCGTGGTTCCCCATGACCGCGGCGTTTGTTTCTTCTGCTTGGCNGAGCGTGAAGTAGTGCGCTGATACTTGTTGTGACAGTAATCGATTTTGGGGGTGGTGATGCTCACGCACAGTCTAATTCGCCCTATCACTAGTAGTGTGCTCCGGACTCTATGCTATCACAAACCTACTAGCACCATTGCTCAAATAGGATGACAGATGGCTCCATTTCTGACCAACTTATTAATATCACTCTCGATCTTAGTTGGACCTTATGTGGATTGCCACTGCAAGTTTCTGGGCTTAGATTGCTCATTAATCATTGACGAATACCACAGGTCTGTGTGATTATGGAATTTGGCGCTTTCTGTTGCTCATCATACACACATATACGAAAGTGTAATAGAAATATCCATGTTGTTTGTTAGAAATCCACTGACTAGGTTCTGTCATTGAATAATTAAAAATTGTATTGAATGTGATATGCTACTAGTGTATGGTGCGGTTTCTTTGGCAGTAGTTCTACTGAACCAGTTCATTCAATTACAGAAACACAACCTATCAGAATGCTATCCAATGTCACATCATATTCGATGACTGCTGCATCCGTTCTTCGTTTTGTGCACTGTAGTCTCATCGATGTTCAGCACATCGGAATCGTGACGGCTGTCGTCGTCATCATCACAATCACCACCATCATCGGGGGCACAATAGTCACAGCCGACATCATTATACTCGAGGTCACCAAGGTCGTAAGCAGCATCGTTACGGATCTGAAAATGCCATGCTTACTGGATCCGGTGGCTCCTTGAGCGCGAACGGTTCCACTGATCAAGGTCCCGGTCCCGGCCCCGAGTCATCCGGTTCTTCGTCCGTGAGTCGAACAACCACAGGTGCCGGTTTGTCCGGCGCATCCTCTTCGTCCTCCGGTCTACTCACCCCGGGAGGCTCGACGCATATGCATAGACGCCACCGCCGTATACGTAGCCGTCGAAGCACGGACGAGGATGCGACCACTTCGGGCTCGCATCGAAGCAGTCCGGTTCCACCAGTGCCAACAATCTTGTGCAACGCGGGGCAACAAACGGACGAGATCAGTTTGCTGAAAGCTACCGGACTAACCATATCTGCCAACAAAGGTAACGGATTTTCCAAGTTAATGACCACCCGATTCTTTCATATTTTAGAACTTGTTAGTGTAAAGTAACGCGTTTTATCTATCCGAATTAATATGTGCATCCAGTCTTTTGGAGTCAACATGTTCTGTAAACCGTTGCAATCACCGGACTGTTACGCTAGAAACAAACCGACACGTGTGATGTATCTCTAATGCCCAGGAAATCTTTTTGCAATCCGACTATTATTTCAAGACAACTCCTAAAGAAACGTATGTTGGTGATCCCGGCCAACCCCGCCCGATATCAACTGGCCGCCTTCCCGGCGAGTAGCATGAACCCAAATGCGTGTGTGTGTGTGTGTGCTCACATATCTCCTGATGAACTGCCAGTTAGATGCGAAGAATTTTCATGGAAGATGGAAAAAAAATAAACGAGAATTATTCATGCTCTACATCGCAAACAGAAGAAATCACATAAAAAAATCTACAATTTCTCGTCCTCTTGATGACCGCTTTTTTTCCACGTGTAGTGACCAAAGTCAGTCAGTAAGAGAATGTCTATAAATTGGTCCCCATTCGTTAGCCGCTTTCAAATTACCTACTCATGAGTTTGGACCGAATGCCACACGTGTTACATCGAAATGACTTCTTTTGACTTCTGTTACCTAAGATTTCGAGGCATCAGACGTGCAGAATGACGGTAGCGTAATCAATGAAGTGACTGCCCGCATTTCCAAGACTCGATCAGCTCACACAGGACTGAAACAGTTTTGATGCAAACGTGATGCTTCGTTGAGACTGAAAGGTCGTGTATACTGCTCGATGGTTGCGAGACCCTAAATTTGTGCACGGAAGATATTCGTCGTCTAGAAGTCTTCAACTAGTAGTTTGGCACGGGTCGGGTGAAACGAGCGTGTAAGCAAATCGGAGTTAAGGCGTCGCGTATTCGGTAATGATTCGATGGGGAATTCGTTTTCCCATGGAATTCAGACTGGTCGGCTTCGCTGGTTAGGGCACGTATTGTGTATACCCAGCCATTATCTACCGCACCGCACTTTATTCGCTCCAGGTTGGAAGAAGAAGCCACATGGAGGTCAAAAGATGACGTGGAAACGAGGCTTGAAGAAATACACAGAGCGATTAGGTAGCGTAGGTGTCTCGCGTCTTCCAGGTTGGGGCCCAAAAGACTCTGCAGCTGGTTGGCTGGAGACATTGAAGGATATGGCAGCGAACCGACGGCAGTGGCGTTCTTGTTGTCATTTCTTATCGAGT